TGTCGCTGGTGCAGACGGCGGTGGGGGCGGGGCACTGTGACTCGGTCTTCAGAGGATTCTCCGACTGTCTCCTGAAGCTCGGGGACAACATGGCCAACTACCCCCAAGACCTGGACGACCGACAGAACCTGCACCGCATCTGCTCGTAAGACTCTCCCCCTCTGACCCTCCTCTGACCTCTGACCCTCCTCTGACCCTCCTCTGACCTCTGACCCTCCTCTGACCCTCCTCTGACCTCTGACCCTCCTCTGACCCTCTGACCCTCCTCTGACCTCTCTGACCTCTCTGACCCTCCTCTGACCCTCTGACCCTCCTCTGACCCTCTCTGACCCTCTGACCCTCTGACCCTCCTCTGACCTCTGACCCTCCTCTGACCCTCTGACCCTCTGACCCTCCTCTGACCCTCCTGACTCTGACCCTCCTCTGACCCTCCTCTGACCTCTGACCCTCCTCTGACCTCTGACCCTCCTCTGACCTCTGACCCTCTCTTCTCTCTGACCCTCTCTTCCTCTGACCCTCTGTTCCTCTGACCCTCTGTTCCTCTGCTGTGATTGGTTCATGTTCGTTCTTGTCGTCTAGAATCAGATTTGTAGATTCTTTTCTTTCATTTTCAGGTTAAACATCTGAGTTTCTCTTTAAAGACGCTCGATTTTTACAGTAAAAAAACAAAACAAAACAAAAAAGAACAGTTTAGAGTTTAGAGTTTAGAGTTTAGAGTTTCGAGTTTGCAGAGCTCTGAGTTCATGTGGAGGTTCAGTCCTGAGTGTTTCTGTGGGAGGAGGAGGGGTGGGGTCCAGGGGGCGTGGCTTAACATGCAGTGGGCGTGGCTGAGTGGATGTGAGTGGGCGTGGCCGAGCGCGTGCAGGGGGCGTGGCTGAGCAGGCGATAATTGGAGTGAGACACAGTGTCGGGGTCAAAGGGGTCACTGCACATTGGATTAGGGAGCCGCCCAAATGTGACGCCCACGACCAGCAGCAGACGGGTGACACGCGACAGACGGGTGCACCGCGGGGGGGACGGGTGCACCGCGGGGGGATGGGGGGGGTGATAGAGCTGTTGACACGAGGGGAGGGGCTGGGGGGTGAGGGGGGTGGGGGCTGGGGGGGGCTGGGGGGGAGGGGAGGGCTGGGGGTGAGGGAGGGGCTGGGGGGTGAGGGGAGGGGCTGGGTGGGGCTCATCGACTCACAACAAAGATTTAAAGTCAAGAGGCTGAAACTGAAGCACAAACCACGAGACGTTTGGAAACTTCCTGTGTTTCTGTTCACCGTCGTCATTCTGACAAAATGGAGGAAAAATAAAAAATGTCCCAGTTTAGTTCATGTCCGTGTCAGTGCAGGAACATGCACCAGTATTAAGAACGAAAAACAATCAAATGTAAAAACGGTTTATTTCATTTTTCTGTTTTAGTGTCAAACAAAAAAACCTCAATTTCCAATATTTCATTTCAAGTTTTCATTTAAAGCCTTGTGCCTGTTTTAACACTGATTTTTCTTCTTCTCTGTGGTTTATTTGAAGTTTGAACTCAGAGTCACTGAACAAAGGAAAGTTTATCTCCGTTCAGACTCCAGGACTCGACGCTCAAATCTGATTTTTTTTTTTTTTGTGAGGTTGTTCACATTTCCAATTAAATATGAGGTGTGTGGTCAGTGTGGCGCCCCCTAGTGTCTCTGTTCAGTTTCATTTCTCTGCAGCTCCAGGTCAGAATCTGAAAACACTCAGTTTATAAAAACCCTGGAAGTGTGAGTTCAAGCACCAGACAATCAGCGATGAGTTCGACATTCTGTGTTGGCGACGATTCCCCAGATCCTCCAGGATTTAAAGTCTGAACAAAGAGAAGGTTTGAGGTTTGGTGAGTTTGATCTCGGGGAAAGACGTTGTTGTTCTTCTTCCTGTGGGATTTGGAGCTTTACAAACGTCACGACCAGTGTTGGGAATAATAAAAGTAACAAATGACAGTCATGTAATAGTCGTGTAATGTTTTACATTTTAAATGCAGTAATATTGTAATGTAACATGTTACATTGAAATGTAACATGTTACATTGAAATGTAACATGTTACATTGTAAATGTAACATGTTACATTGAAATGTCAGTAATAAATCATAAATAAAACATGTCACTGGTTCAACACTGATCACGACCGAACAGCAGCGATTGGTTCAATAAAAAAAGTCTCCGCCTCCTGTCGAGTGAACCAATCCTGACGCTGCAGGTCACACGGTTTTCACCAAGTGAAACCAACTCACGAATCAGACTGACGTGTGTGTGAGATCTACAGTGTGAACTTTAAACACTCCAAAAGTGTCACACATGTGCACTGGACATGACCACGTCACACAGTGAGTGTGTTCACAGTTTACAGAAGTAAAATGTTCAGGTCCCACGTCCGCGGTGCTTCGTTTGTTTGACTCTTTATCCTCCTTGTGTTTGACTGGCAGGATTTTATTTTTCATTGACGTTGGAGTCAGGTCGACCTGTAGCTGCGCTCGGACATTTCTTTGTCAATCATTTCAAAAAACACCCAGTTCAGATAAAACTCCTCCAGTTCATCTTGAACACAACGATCCCCCCAAATCTGAACAAAGTCTCTAACGTCACTGTTCCTCCACTGACCAGACTCAGACTCCGACCTGTAGGTGGATGAACGACCTGGACGACCTGAAGTCACATGTTAAAGGTTGTATAGAGGATTTCTTAAGGGAAGAGAAATACAGCGACCGTCCTTTTTTCAAATGTTGTGCATGTGACACCTCCTCCTCCTCCTCCGCCTTTTTACGCCTTTTGACTCTAGAGTCACGTTCGTTTACATCCGTACGTGTTCAGAATCACTGCTCAAGTTTCCTGTTCGAAATAATTTATCGACTGACACGTCAGTTTTAGACCCTTCGTCTGCTTGAGTCGCGCCATCGCTGGAAGAAATCTCCAAGAATCACCTCAGTTTGTCTTCAGTCCTTTTCCTCTTCTCTTCTTCTTTCATCGACCTCAAAAAACGACTCTTTTGCGGTGAACTGGTCATAGATTCTCGCTCGACGTCGCGACAAACTTTGTGTGAATTGTGAGGAAGTTTGAAAAAGCCTCAAAGAACCGCTGCTTAAACCACATAATAACGTCAGTTACACTAGAAACGTAGGGAGTTTGATTGACAAGCTAACAGCCAATAGATAAAGAGGGAGCCTCATTTTCTACTGGCTGAAGTTTATCTGGCCTCAACATGTCCATAGTTGATGGATTTTCATTCTTTTTTTTTTAGTCATCATAATTCCAAAGCTGCTGCGTCTCTTTAACAGTATTTTAAACTTTCACTGACAATTTGAGACAAAAAAAAATCCACCGTACAACCTTTAAAGATCAGATCTGTTTGGGGTTTAGGAGCACAGATCCAAGTGTCCTGGGTCACGTTTGAAAAAGTCAGATCTGTGTGGTTCAGACTTCGAAATTAAAAGATCAGATCCAGGAGCAGAGGGATGAAACATCAGACCTGAGTCACTTCAGGTCAGACTGAACACAGACGAAGACGTGAAAATAAACACGTCGCTGTACAAGACGACGACGCGTTTGTCCACCAAACTGCCACGATTTTTCAGGTTCGTCCTTCAGCAGCAGAACTTCAAATAAACCAGAGAGAATCAAATATCCAAATTAAAATCAGCACAAGACTGTTTTTTGTGTTTTTTCAAATAAACTTTAAATTAAATATTGGAAATCGAGGTCAAAATCTGTTCTTTTGTTTGACACTAAAATGGAAAAATGAAACAAACAGTTTTCATTTTCCCGCTGAGCGTTTTTCCTTCAGTGGTTTGATCCCAGTGGCTCGAGTCCAGAGTGAGAAACACACGAGCAGCAGCTTCACCGCAGCTTCACACACGTCACACACACGTCACACACACGTCACACACACGTCGTCCTGGTCTCATGTTCTCGCTTCAGGTCGATACTGAGAATTTAAAATGTCACAATTAGAAGAGAAAGATCCACAGAGGTCAGAGGTCACAGCTACAAACACACACACCACACGACTGATTTATAACACTCATCAAACACACACACGTCTCACACACACACGTCTCACACACACAGAGACACACACACACACACACAGAGACACACACACACGTCACACTTGTTTAAATTCATTCACAGATTCTAGAGGCGTGTCTTGTCTCTCCGCCCACACCAGAGGGTTTTTATGCTTTTTTAATCTGATGATTAAACGCACACACACACACACACACCCCGACACACACACACACACACACACAGAGACACACACACACACACACATCTCACACACACACACACACACTCACACACTCTCTCCTGATGTCCCTGTGTCCCTGTGGAGTCTCTGTCCTCGCACTTTTTGATCATTATTATTATTTATTTTGCTCGTTTAAAACACGAAACAATAAAAAACACTCTGGATGAAAAAGTAGAAACAGGAAAAGGCAAAAAACTCAAAAGAGCTTCAAAATAAAATACTTTAAACTGAACATTTGAGCTGCACGTTATTAAAAAAATGACATTTACACACTTTAAATTAAAAACATTTGAGTCAAACCTGGAATAAAACAAAACGAAACATCCACAACTGAAGAATTATTAAACTTTATCATGAAATATCAAACCTTTACTTTTTAAACAACGGTTCTGTAAACACACGCGAAAACTGCTCCAGAATTTACCACCTCTGATCGACGCAAAACTGAGAACAAAAACACAGTTAGTCCAGTTTTAGTCCAGTTTTAGTCCAGTTTTAGTCCAAACAAACAGAAACACAGAAACTCTACAAAAACTCAAATCTCTCCAAGTGAAATTGACTTGAGTTCAGAAGTTGTTTTACTGATTTGATTAAATCTCACATGAAAAATCTCAAATGATCCGAGTTTTTGTACCTGAAATAAGAAAATTCACAAGGTTAGACTGAAGATAAGAAGAAAAAAAACACCAATTGTATTTAAAATAAAAAAGTAAAAACTGTAAACTGTTTGAAATAAGAAAAAAACACTTAATCCAGAGACAGAGTCTTTTATTTTTCAAGTGAAATCTCCTCAAATCAAGTCAAATCTTCATTTGACTCATTGGAATTTACTTAGATATTTGTTTTTTGAGTTCACACACACAGGAATAAAAAGTGAACACACACACACACAACACACACACACACACATAAACACACAAACACACACACACATAAACACACACACAGAACAAGTCAGAACACACTAAAAATGTTGTTTTAAAGCTGCACTGTGTCACTTTTCTGCTCCGTTCTGCGGCGACGGAACCAGAGCTCCGCCCCCCGACCTGTTACACACACACACACACACACAGAGGAGGGAGTGTGTGTGTGTGTGTGTGTGTGTGTGTGCATGGGAGGGGGGGTGAGTCATTAAAGAGCTGTTCAGAGACGCCAGAGGGGAGGGGGGGGTTAATAAGAGCGGAACAGCTGAGCCCCTCCCCCTGGGACCTGCACCGAGGAGGAAGAAGAAGAAGAAGAAGAGGAGAATCTGTGTGTCGCTCGTTCAGTCGTTTTTCAATATTAAACCAAAAATAAGAAAACGAAAAAACAACAGTTTTCTTCATTATTTGTCTCCAAAACCAAAATGAAAAAACAGAAAATGATTCTTTTTTTCAGTTTTGGATTTTGTGTTTAAATAAAAAATGGAAAAAACGGATAACGACCGTTTCCCGTTTACGTGACTTAAACTATGATGATGGACTGAACCAGGACTGATCCAGGTCCAGGACCAGACCGGGACCAGACCGGGACCAGACTGGGACCAGACCGGGACCAGACCGGGACTGAAGACTCTGAGCTTTGACTTTGAGCTTTGACTCTGAGCTTCTGCAGGGTCTGAGTCTCAGCTTCGAGCTCCGGCCCTGGGCTCTGAGCCTCCGGTCTGGTCCCGGTCTCAGTCTGGTCCTGGTCTGGTCCCGGTCTCAGTCTGGTCCTGGTCTGGTCCCGGTCTCAGTCTGGTCCTGGTCTGGTCCCGGTCTCAGTTCTGATCTCAGTTCTGATCTCAGTCCTGGTCTGGTCCCGCTCTGGTCTTGGTCTCAGTCCTGGTCTGGTTCCAGTCTGGTCCTGGACCTGGATCAGTCCTGGTTCAGTCCAGCATCATAGTTTAAGTCACATAAACGGGAAACGGTCGTTATCCGTTTTTTTAATTTTTTTTAATTTAAACACAAAATCAAAAACTGAAAAAATGAATCAATTTTCTGTTTTTTCATTTTGGTTTTGGAGACAAATAATGAAGAAAATAGTTGTTTTTTCGTTTTCTTATTTTTGGTTTAATATTGAAAAACAAATGAACGAACGACACACAGATTGAGGAGGAAGAAGAAGAAGAAGAAGAAGAAGAGGCAAAGTCACGCACCCACAATGTCACCTGTGGTGTTCCTCAGGGTTTGGTGTTAGGTCCCACCCTCTTCACTCTTTACCTACTCCCCCTGGGTAATCACCAACCCTGGTATATCCTACCACTGCTACGCAGACGACACACAGCTGTATTTACGGACCACCCCCACTTCTTCCACTCCCTCACTATCATCCACACTGACCACCTGCCTGGAGGAGATGGAGGCGTGGATGAAGCTAAATTTCCTTCAACTCAATAGTTCCAAAACAGAAGCCATCCTGGTTGGCACAATTCATCAGCTCCGCTCTTCCACCATCACCAGTATCTCATTCTCTGGTCAAACGATTCCCTTCTCTGCATCTGTCACCAACCTGGGTGTCAAAATGGACTCACAACTCACCTTTGACACCCACATCAAACACCTCTGTAGGACGTCATTCTACCACCTCAGAAACATGTCAAAACTCCGTCCAACTCTCTCCTTGGCAGATGCAGAGAAGCTCGTCCAGGACTTTATCTCCTCCAGGCTGGACGACTGTAACGCACTCCTCATGGGGATCCCTGGCAGGAGCATCCAGAGACGGCAGGACGTCCAGAACTGCGCTGCCAGGATCCTGATGAGGATCACCCCCATCCTGAAATCCCTTCACTGGCTCCTGATCCCACTCAGGACTGAGTACAAGGTCCCTCCTCACTCACCAGAGCCTCCACTCACCCCCCTCACCCCCCTCACCCCCTCACTCCCTCACCCACCCTCACCTCACCCTCCCTCACCCCCCTCACCCTCACCCCCCTCCTCCCTCACCCTCCCTCACCCTCCCTCACCCCCCACCCTCCCTCACCCTCCCTCCCTCACCCTCCCTCACCCTCCCTCACCCCCCCTCACCCTCCCTCACCCCCCCTCACCCCCCTCACCTCACCCTCACCTCACCCCTCCCCCACCCCCCCTCACCCTCCCCTCACCCTCCCTCACCCTCCCTCACCCTCCCTCACCCCCCTCACCCTCACCCCCCTCACCCTCACCCTCCCTCACCCTCCCTCACCCTCCCTCACCCCCCTCACCCTCCCTCACCCTCCCTCACCCTCCCTCACCCTCCCTCACCCTCCCTCACCCTCCCTCACCCTCACCCTCCCCTCACCCTCCCTCCGCTCTGCAGACACCAACTCTCTCCAAACCCCCAGAACCAAACTCTGCACCATGGGAGATCGGACCTTCTCCTCTGCTGCTCCAAGGCTTTGGATCCCCCCCCCCGACCACCTGAGGCCCCACAGTCTACTTCTGTTTTTAAACAAAATCTTAAAACACACCTTTTTACTAAAGCCTTTTGTTAATTGTATTTTATTCTTGTTTTATCTTATTAATTCCTGCACTGGTTTTAGCTTGATCCACTGTTTCTGATGCACCTTTTTTACTCATTGTTTTTACCTGTCGCACTTTGAGATTATTTTATGTAAAGTGCAATATAAATAAAATGTATTATTATTATTATAAGAAGAAGAAGAAGAGGAGGAGGAGGAGGAGGAGGAGGAGGAGGAGGAGGAGGAGGAGGAGAGGAGGAGGAGGAGGAGGAGGAGGAGGAGGAGGAGGAGGAGGAGGAGGAGGAGGAGGAGGAGGAGGAGGAGGAGGAGGAGGAGGAGGAGGAGGAGGAGGAGGAGGAGGAGGAGGAGGAGGAGGAGGAGGAGGAGGAGGAGGAGGAGAGGAGGAGAGGAGGAGGAGGAGAGGAGGAGGAGGAGGAGGAGGAGGAGGAGGAGGAGGAGGAGGAGGAGGAGGAGGAGGAGGAGGAGGAGGAGGAGGAGGAGGAGGAGAGGAGGAGGAGGAGGAGGAGGAGGAGGAGGAGGAGGAGGAGGAGGAGGAGGAGGAGGAGGAGGAGGAGGAGGAGGAGGAGGAGGAGGAGGAGGAGGAGGAGAGGAGGAGGAGGAGGAGGAGGAGGAGGAGGAGGAGGAGGAGGAGGAGGAGGAGGAGGAGGAGGAGGAGGAGGAGGAGGAGGAGGAGGAGGAGGAGGAGGAGGAGGAGGAGGAGGAGGAGGAGGAGGAGGAGGAGGAGGAGGAGGAGGAGGAGGAGGAGGAGGAGGAGGAGGAGGAGGCCCATCCCCAAATCTTCAACCAACAAGCTCCACAAAAGAGAAATATTCTTCCTCCACGACTGAACGTCACAAATCTGTGTCTGTGTCAATCTCCAATCGTCAGGAAATTCAGTTTTATTTTAAATTCTAAGACGAGTTGGTTTTGTTTTGTTCCTGATCAGAACATGACTTGAGTTTGTTGTGTGACTCATGTGACTCGTCGTTGTTTCTTTAAGTTTTGTTCTTTCTTCTCTTGATGTTGTGGAGAAATTGATCATGAAGAATGTTTCTCCTTTGTGGAGTTTGTTGTTGAAGATTTGGTGATGGAGCAGATTTATTTAGTTCCAGTTTTAGTCCAATTTTAGACCTGCTTTAGTCCTAACTTCAGTCCAGTTTTAGTCCAGTTCTAGTTCAGTTTTGATCCCAGTTTTACTCTAGTTTTAGTCTTTATTTAGCCCAGATTTTGTCTCATTTCCGTCCAGTTTTAGAACTGTTCTAATGCCAGTCTTAGTCCAGTTCTAGACCTGTTTTAGTCCAGTTTTATTACTAGTTTTCGTCCAGTTTTTGTCCAGTCTTAGTCCAGTCTTAGTCCTGGTCTTAGTCCTGGTCTTAGTCTGGTCTTAGTCCAGTTTTAGTCCAGTCTTAGTCCAGTCTTAGTCCAGTCTTAGTCGGGTCTTAGTCGGGTCTAACTCTGCGCTCCCCCTGGTGGCAGGTACTGGGATAACTTCCACGCGTGCGCGGCGACCGCTCTCACCGACTGCCAGGAGGGGGCGACGGAGATGTGGGAGAAGCTGAAGAAGGAGTCGAGGAACCTGGACTTCCGCGGGAGTCTGTTTGAACTGTGCGCCGGGGGCAACGGGGCGGGGCGTCACCACGGCAACGCACCCCTGCTCGCCGCCGCCGCCGCCCTCCTCGCCGCCCTCCTCGCCGTGCTGCTCGTCTGAACCGCCGGGAGACGCTCCGCTGGAGGAAACGGGACCTCACCCGGACCTCACCCGGACCAGGCCCGGACCAGGCCTGGACCTCGCCCGGACCTCACCCGGACCTCACCCGGACCTCGCCCAGACCTCGCCCGGACTCTCAGGAGGTCAAGAGGACGATGTTCTGATGCTGGTTCCTCGTCGCAAACGCAGACCCGGAGTTTTGTTTCGTTCACACAAACCAAAAACACTCTGTTTCACTTTGTGATGTCATCATGTGGTGATATAGGAAGTGCTCCACTGTGTTTTTAAACTCCACACACCTTCACTAGAATCACCTGGATCATTTCAGTTGTGGAGTCGCCCGATCTCGACTGAACTGAAGAGAAAAGGAGAACCAGAACCACAGACCAGAACCACAGACCAGAACCACAGACCAGAACCACAGACCAGAACCACAGACCGGTTCAGAACCTGTGTTTAAACCTTTTCTGTGACATCAGGAACCACTGGGGACAAATGTCAAGATCATGTTAGATTTAACTCGTAAAATATATATAAAAAAAATAAATATCGTACAAAATGGAAGATTTACGACTGTGAAATTAACTCGTAATAAATAAGAACTGAAACTGGTCTAAACTGAACCAGGACTGAACCAGGACTGACACAGAAGGATCCAAGACTCACCTGGAACTGCTGATCTTTAAAATGACCACTTCATGACATCACCAGGTGGAACAGAGAATAATAAAGAGTCACTCAAACATGTGAACGAAACAAACACGACTCCAGGTCTGAGTGAGACGAAGAACAACAGAAGAACATCAGAAGAACATCAGAAGAACATCAGAAGAACATCAGAAGAACATCAGAACATGACTCAAAGCTCAGAGTTTGTGAGATTCAGTTCCTCGTTGGTCCTCAGATCTCAGCGTGGTCTACAGAGAGACACACGGGAGGGCATCTGACTCTCTGTAGAATCTGGTGCTGAAGTAAAGACCGAGGACCAGATTATCAGGTGCAAATCGTTGGGTCCTGGATTCTCTCTGGTCAGGAACAGATCCGGGTCCTGGAGATGGTCCTGGTCCTAAAGCAGGTCTGGGTTCTGGATTCTCTTTGGTCTGGAGAAGATCCAGGTCCTGGATTCTCGCTGGTCCGGGTCCTGGATTCTTGTTTGTCCAGAGCAGGTCCAGTTTCTGGATTCTCTTTAGACTGGGGCAGATCTGGGTCCTTGATTCTCTTTGGTCTGGAACAGATCAGGGCCCTGGAGCAGGTCCGGGTCCTGGAGCAGGTCCGGGTCCTGGAGCAGGTCCGGGTCCTGGAGCAGGTCCGGGTCCTGGAGCAGGTCCGGGTCCTGGAGCAGGTCCGGGTCCTGGAGCAGGTCCTGGTCCTGGAGCAGGTCCGGGTCCTGGAGCAGGTCCGGGTCCTGGAGCAGGTCCTGGTCCTGGAGCAGGTCCGGGTCCTGGAGCAGGTCCGGGTCCTGGAGCAGGTCCTGGTCCTGGAGCAGGTCCGGGTCCTGGAGCAGGTCCGGGTCCTGGAGCAGGTCCGGGTCCTGGAGCAGGTCCTGGTTCTCTGGGGGATGGAGGACGTGTACAGAGCCGCTCCTGTTTTTCCGTTGTGATTTTCTGTAAAGTTTTGTTTTGTAGATTTGGTTTTGAAGGTTCGGTCACATCAGGTTTAAATCTGCGTTTGTGTTTTCGGTCGAGACGAATCGAAGCGGCGACAGAAACAGAAAAACTCAAACTCCAAACTCCAACTGAAGCGAGCGACGTCTGTTTACTGTTTCAGCCCGAGCAATATCACCCCAGACTAAACCAGGACTAAACCAGGACTAAACCAGGACTAAACCAGGACTAAACCAGGACTAAACCAGGACTAAACCAGGACTAAACCAGGACTAAACCAGGACTAAACCAGGACTAAACCAGGACTAAACCAGGACTAAACCAGGACTAAACCCAGGACTAAACCAGGACTAAACCAGGACTAAACCAGGACTAAACCAGGACTAAACCAGGACTAAACCAGGACCAGGACTAAACCAGGACTAACCAGGTAAACCAGGACTAAACCAGGACTAAACCAGGACTAAACCAGGGACTAAACCAGGAACTAAAACCAGGACTAAACCAGGACTAAACCAGGACTAAACCAGGACTAAACCAGGACTAAACCAGGACTAAACCAGGACTGGAACCAGGACTAAACCAGGACTAAACCAGGACTAAAACCAGGACTAAACCAGGACTAAACCAGGACCCAGGACTAAAGAAAACCAGGACTAAACCAGGACTAAACCAGGACTAAACCAGGACTAAACCAGGACTAAACCAGGACTAAACCAGGACTGAACCAGGACTAAACCAGGACTAAACCAGGACTAAACCAGAACCAGGAACTAAACCAGGACTAAACCAGGACTAAACCAGGACTAAACCTAAACCAGGACTAAAACCAGAACTAAACCAGACTAAACCAGGACTAAACCAGGACTAAACCAGAACTAAACCAGGACTAAACCAGAACTAAACCAGACTAAACCAGAACCAGAAACCAGGACTAAACCAGGACTAAACCAGGACTAAAACCAGGACTAAACCAGGACTAAACCAAGACTAAACCAGGACTAAACCAGGACTAAACCAGGACTGAACCAGGAAAACCTAAACCAGGACTAAACCAGGACTAAACCAGGACTAAACCAGGACTAAAACCAGGACTAAACCAGGACTAAACCAGAACTAAACCAGACTAAACCAGGACTGAAACCAGGACTAAACCAGGACTGAACCAGAACTAAACCAGGACTGAACCAGGACTAAACCAGGACTGAAACCAGGGACTAAACCAGGACTAAACCAGGACTAAACCAGGACTAAACCAGGACTGGACTAAACCAGGACTAAACCAGGACTAAACCAGGACTAAACCAGGACTAAACCAGGACTAAACCAGGACTAAACCAGGACTAAACCAGGACTAAACCAGGACTAAACCAGGACTAAAATCATATCATTTTAAAGCCAAGGACAAAATATTCACAAAATGCAATAAGTGATTTCACCTGAGTTTTCTTCTGAAACCCTGATGCCCTGAGACACAAAGATTAGAATTGTGATAAAAATTAATTTTATATTGTGAAAATGTTTAAAATTTTGGACATTTTAGATTCTAAACTTTTCCAAAAAACGTCACTTTAGACCCAAACTTAAAGCGGGAGTGTTCGTCTCTTTCTCTCGTGTTCTAACTCTGTTCCTCGTCACAAACCTGACTGAACAAAGTTTCACACTCATCCATGCATGTTTGAGTCATCTAGAGATCTCTCCCGGGCTCTATTCAAACTCCTCCCACCTGTACGAAGCTCCGCCCACACGCTCCCAAAGGACAATTCTCCACAAATCCACAAAAACACGACACGAAACTGAACACGGCGACTGGACAAACCTGATGTGACGTGCAGGAGTTTCGACGCTCTGAAGGGGAGGGACTTAGCACGGAGAGCAAAGAGACTACAAAACATGTTCATCTGTTGTTTTTTATTGGCAAATAAAACATTTTAAACAATAAACGGAACATGGAAAATCTAAATATGTGACGTGAAAACCCCACAAACGTCACACGCTCCGACTGTCAAAAACAACTGAATCATTTTGACGAGTTTAATAATTATTTTTTTTATTACTACAAAATTATTCCTGATACGTTTTATTATTTAATTTTATCTTTAATTATTTCAGTTTTTATTTTAAAACAAAAATCTTCCATGTTTAAGCCATAACGACCCACGACTCGACTGTTGGGAGACGTATTCTGTCGCAATATCCGACCCTGACCTCTGACCTCTGACCTCGGACCTTGTGGCAGCCGCTGACCTCTGACCTCTGAACCTGACCCGTGCATGTCCGCGCTCGCCGCCGCCGCCGCCGCCCTTTGAGCTACAGCGTTTTAGCGTTTTAGAGTTTTGCGTCTTGCCGTTGTTTTTTGCGGTTGGGCAGCGTTCTGTCGGTGTGACCGGACCTTCGCTCCGGGACGAGTCTGAGACGCGGCGAAGGGGGCGGGGCTACGGGGAGCGGGGGCGGGGCTACGGGGAGCAGGAGCCGGGGCGAGGAGTGAGGAAGAGTCTTTCAAAGCGTGCGACAGATGCTTAATGTGAAACCTGCATGACGTCCGCTCACAGCCGAAGAGTCGGACGAGAGACGCAGTTACACCAGGACCTGAAGACGACAAACGCACAACTACACACAAAAACAACTACGTCCAACACAGCCTCCAGGAAACTTCAAAATGCTGGAAAACGACACAAAATGGAGTCAGTCGCAAAAAGTTCAGTTTGTGTGATTTTCTCAGTTTTATTTTGGGTCGATGATTCAAAATGTGAAACAGCCTCAAAACAACAGAAAATTATTGAAACATTTGTGTTTCAGTTTTACGTGTGGCTGTTTTCATTTGTGTGAGTAACATTATTAATACTATTGTTGTGTAAATTATATTTTGGTCATTTCCGTTCAGTTGACGACAGCGACTTTAATAAAACTCCACAAAACGAGTGAAGAGAAACGAGCCGACGCTGTGGAAAAGATGATTATTTTGTAAAATATGAATCAAAAGCAACTTACTACAGACTGATCTAGACTTTTCCGGAGCTGTTTCTGAGGGGCTGGACGACGTCATCAGACTAAAATAAAACTAATATAATAATAAGAACCAGAATCACACAAACTAAACTTTTTCAGCACAAAAAAGCACAAACAACTGACAGTTTTTGTGCAGGTTTGTGTTTGATGGAGGCGACTTCACAGACGTTACACACCAGGCGCTAACGCTAATGCTAACGCTAACGCTAATGCTAACGCTAATGCTAACGCTAATGCTAACGCTAATGCTAACGCTAATGCAGCAATTGAGCTATTTATTTATTTATTTTTTAACTGTTTATTATAATTTTAAGATATACAAAATATACATAGCAACTTAAAAATTGAGATATTTAAAATTTGAAAAAACAAAAAAAACAAAAAAACAAAAACAAAACAGCAACTGAGCAGATTTTAAGTGATTCAACTGATTTCTTA